ACATACATATATATATATATATATATATATATATATATATATATATATATATACATATCGCATATATATATATATATATATATATATATATACACATGACTAAAGTCTTGTCGTCGATGTCAGTTGTAAGAGCAACAAATAATAACTTGACTTCTAGTTGATCATTTGGTAAAGTAGCAGATGAGTCATCTGTTGAACTGCATCCCAATTATCACAAATATTGCAGAAGACCTACTGGAACCCGCATGGACTCAAGATTCTCACAGAAATCAGTCAAGTTTGGTGTAGGAAAAATCATGGTTTGGGGTTACATTCAGTATGGTTGCATGTGTGAGATCTGCAGAGTGGATGGCAACATCTACAGCCTGAGGTACATTACATTACAAACCACAGGAGAGGGCAAATTCTTCAGCAGGATAACGCTCCTCATACTTTAGCCTCCACTTTAAAGTTCCTGAAATCGAAGGTGCTCCAGGAATGGCCAGCCCAGTCAGCAGACATGAGCATTATTGAGCATGTCTGGGGTAAGATGAAGAAGGAGGCATTGAAGATGAATCTAAAGGATCTTGATGTGCTCTGGGAGTCCTGCAAGAACGCTTTCTTTGCCATTCCAGATGACTTTATTAATAAGAGATTTGAGTCATTGTAGAGATGTATGGATGCAGTCCTCCAAGCTCATGATGGAGTCAGACACAATATTCATTCTTTCTCCACTGCAGCATGACTTTATATTCTATACTGAACATTATTTCTGTTAAGTGACAAACTTTTGTCTAAGCAAAGTCAGACTTTACTTTCCTGATTAAATAATGAAAAATCAAGGCATGATCATGTTTTATTTTGGTAAATAAGTGTAATCTTCATATAAGCTACTTCTGATTCCAAATTATCAAGTAGAAGTCAAGTTATTATTTGTTGGTCCTAAAACTGGGATAGGCGACAAGACTTTTGTCACTTAGTGTATGTATATTTTTTTACCTTTCTGAGTTTTTCTTGTGTTGAACACCAACGGTGAAACTTTGAAGGATGCTGGTTGCTGGGAACCATTAACTTGCATTGTAAGGTTGACAGCTATCAGCATTCTTCAAAATATCTTCCTTTGTGTTCAACAGAAGAAATAAACTCAGGGTTTTGAACAAGTGAAGGGTGAGTAAATAATGGCTACATTTTTATTTTCTTGTGAACTATCTTTTTACATGTAAACATTAGGTATTTTATATTTGTTTTTCAGAAATTGCATGTTTATTGGTAAAAATGGATGTCTAATTTATTATATTTGGCATCAGAATTGTTGTTGTAATCTTTGAGCATTCACAAAAACCAAGCAAAAAACATGTCTGCATACTGGTCATGAAGAATTCAGTCCGAATGCAAACATATCACTGTATTTTTTTCGATATAAGATAATTAAGATGCTAAGATGCTAAATAATATTACACAAGAAAAGACTGTCATTTCCCCAATTACCAGTACGTTTGCAAAGGTGTGCACGTGGTGTTGATTATATCAACAAATGTTATTATTGATTTCTGTAAATTAATGTTTTGACATTGTTCTGAATCTACAACTGTCACCCATCATTTTGAAAATACAGTGCTCAGCATACTGTAAATGAGTTTACCCTTCAGTAACCCTCATTTAAAGTAACATCGGTAACACTTTACAATAAAGTTCATTAGTTAATGCATTTACTAACATGAACTAATCATGAACAACACATGTACAGCATGTATTAATCATAGTTGAATATTTATTAATGCATTATTAACATCCAAGTCCATGCTTGTTACCATTAGTTAATGCACCATGAGTTAACATGAACTAACAATGAACAACTGTATTTTCATTAACTAACGTTTGTTAACATGAACAACTACTGTAGTAAATGTATTGTTCATTGTTTGTTTATGTTAGTAAATGCATAACTTAACATTAACTAATGAACCTTATTGTAAAGTGTGACCTCAATATCTTCTAAAGGAAGCTTTACAATATTGTATTTGTGCACATACATTAGATTAGTCAGTACTAAAGCCAAATCTGGAGCTAATCTAACAAAATAAGTTATAATAATGGTACAAAACCAGTACACCCAAATGTATATGTTATAAAAAAAAAAGATGAAATACAAATTTAAAAAGAGCAAAACAAGAGAAACAAAAAATATTTTAAATTTAGTTGAAAATTTGTAGCTTGCAATTTTTAAAAAACAAAAAAAACAAAAAACAAAATTAAATGTATCATCGTTTTATTTCTTAAGATGTTTGGTGGCTAAAATATTTATAGTTTAATAGTAATATAATTTTATAATAATATACTTTTAATAAATATATCTGTTTAATAAATCTGTTTTGTTTAATGCAGCAAAATACATTGCCTATATTCACTGAGAAATGGATAAATATATTCGTCTTTAAAATGTGGTGTGCTCAGTTATGCTGAGCACTGTATACATATTTATTAATTGCTCAATTAGACTGAAGTCTGGCTCCACCTACTGGTGGTTTCAGATTCATTTTATCAAATTATCCTGTACCAGACAAGATACCAGAACAAGAGAAATGTCAGCAAAATACGGTGATATCAATACTGAAAAAGAAAAGCAATCAATATTTTACAAACTCCTAGTCCACATAGTGATTTGAATAATAACCCCCCCCCCCCCCCCCCCCCCCAAAAAAAATAATTCTGTCACTATTTACTCTCCCTTTACTTGTTCCAAACCTTTATGAGTTTCTTTTTTTAGTTGAACGCAAAAAAAGATATTTTAAGGAATGTTTGAACAACAGATTAAAAAATCTCATAAAAGTTGAAAACCACATGAGGAAACGGGTAAATAGTGAGTACATTTTTACTCTTGGTTACACTCTCCCTTTGTTTCTGGATTCCATGGATCTGATTCTCAAATGGGGTATACGCACACTGACTTTTAATATTCAGTCAGCCAGCCCAAATGCTTCTGGTTAACTGTCGGGCAAATCACCATGTTAAAGATCTGATTTCTTTAAAAATCAGCAATCTTCACTCCTGATTGATATACGATAGATAGTTGGTCTCAGATCGGACATGAGCAATGCATTAAATTCCACTTTTGTTTTTAATATGGAAATTTATTTAGCTTCAGTATTTTCTGGTTTAAATATTTTTATTATTAGAAATTTTCGCAGACATTCAATTTAAAATACACTTTTTAAAAAATATAAACATAAAACTTCCAGGCTTTCCAGCGTTTTCAAAAAGCTCCGGTGCTCAAAACCCTGGCGCAGTGTGGACGTAAGGCATAACCGTAGTAAAACTTACGCGTTTTAGAACTAAAATGTAGTAGTGTAATGGGGCCTTTGTTTCTAAAATTTCACATGGAATTTCTACTGCAAGTTCTTCTTTCCTAGCAGATTTAAAGTTCTCCATAGATGGACTTTTTATCTGTTTTAAACCCTTGTAAAGCAAAGAATTGGTACTACTATTTGAAATGTGTCCAGATACATGGGTGACGCCGTGGCATAATTAGAATCTAAAGTATCTAAAGAAGTGTTTAAAAGGAAGACTGTATTTGTGAAATGAAGCAAATTTTCCTTTCTAACATCGAAGGGTGAAAAGTGGGGTTAGCTGAGATCAAGGGCGTAGGTTTGCACTTGACATTGGTGGGGATGGGTGAATAAAACAACATATATATATCAAACATATACAGTTGTAGTCAGAATTATTAGCCCCTGCGTTGAATTTTATTTTTTCTTTTTAAAATATTTCCCAAATAATGTTGAATTAAGCAAGAAAATGTTCACAGTATGTTTGATAATAGTTTTTCTTCTGGAGAAAGTCTTATTTGTTTTATTTCAGCTAGAGTAAAAGCAGTTTTTAATTTTTCAAACACCATTTTAAGGTCAAACGTACTAGCCCCTTTAAGCTTTTTTTTTTCGATAGTCTACAGAACAAACCATCGTTATACAATAACTTGCCTAATCACCCTAACCTGCCTAGTTAACCTAATTAACCTAGTTAAGCCTTTAAATGTCACTTTAAGCTGTTTGGAAATGTCTTGAACAATATCTAGTCAAATATTATTTACTGTCATCATGGCAAAGATAAAATAAATCAGTTATTAGAAATGAGTTATTAAAACTATTATGATTATAAATGTGCTGAAAAAATGTACTCTCCAATAAACAGAAATTAGGGAAAAAATAATCAGGGGGGCTTATAATTCAGGGGGGCTAATAGTTTTGACCTCAACTGTATATATGCTGCTATTATTTATTTAACCGCTATTAAATTATAATAATAATTAATCCTCTCTTCATACAATTTATTAAGTTTCAGGCCCGTAGCAGTTAGAGATTCTGGTGGTTCGAAAGACCAAAAGTAGGATTATTATTTTTAAATTTTTCGTATTATTCAAATGGCCAAATTTCTGATCGAGCCAGTTCATTATTTGCCTAAAGGCTTCAGTGTTTAATCTAAAACAAGTTTTAACAGATTTCTTTAAAAAAAAAAATAATAATAAAAGATGGTAATAATTTTATATTTTAAAAATAAGTGGTATCTTTTAATATTTTTATTCAAAATTGTCAATATTTCTAAAACTGTAATATAAAACTTACAGTTTAAATGCAAATTTGTAAATAAACACTTAAAATAGTCAAAAAGTATGGTAAGCAAGTTGACAAAATGGTTGGAAATATTTCTAAACATCAGAATTCTAAACATCCGACATGATAATACAGCAAAAATTAGTTCAATTAATGAATTAATAATTAAATAGACATCAGGCAAATAACTGCAAAAATGTTCAGCTTTTCGTCAGACAGCCTGAGAGTGTAATGTTAAAGAAAATGTTTATTAACTGATAAAGAGAGCGTTTAATTAAGACTTCTGTTTATTTTAGCCATAGTGCATGTCTCATTTATCACTATTATGCCTATACACATGCTGTATTTTTTCTAACAAATTGTTTCAACCGAAATTGAACATGCTAGAGATTAGGAGAACTGGTGGGGATCATATACTTTAGCTGTTTATTCTGCAATTAGTTTTCAGGGCATATTATTCACAGGCTAGCCTATATCAGTCTGCTACTAAATAGACATTAAAGTGGAGGAAAACACGAGCATTAACAGCATTGTCATGATGGGCTCATTCAGTAGCGAATCTGCGTTTATGTGACTTACACTTTTGTTGAAAATAAACGTATGTCCTCTTTAGCTGTCATGCTTACTTGTGTGTGTGTCACCCAACACACCTTATTCTTGCACGAAAAAAACAACAAAAATCCACTGCATTTGGTGCTGCTTATCTGAACGCAGCCACAGCCTCTCACATGATAGCAGGGACAGGCACAGCCAACCAAAATGTCCATATGTGTTTTGGGGGCGGGAGCACTCAAGGAGAGAACGTGATTGAACCCTTTCTGCGTGTCTAGGTCAATTAAAGAGCCCATATTATACATGAAATAGGGTCATATCTTGGTTGTAAGGGTCTCCAACAACAGTCTAATATGCATGCAAGGTCAAAAAACACTTTCATGGTCTTATAATCTGCATTTATTTTTACCTAATTATCCCAGCGACTCCCGTATGAATCGACCAGTGATTCATTTGTTCCCAAACCCCTCCTTAGCGCGAAGCTAATCTGCGCTGATTGGACCAATGACAGTCTGTTGCGATTGGTCGACTGCCTTCAGTGAGAGAGTGAAATGCCCAACAGCTAATCAGCAATATAAAAGTAATCACAGTTCATACACGCTCGATAGTGTAGTCGTGGATTTTAGCTGCCAGTGGGTCAATGTAAATACAGACTATAGATTTGAAAATACAGACAACTAACTATTTTATTGAGCAAAAACTCAAAAACAGTTGAGGAGATCTTCTAGCTTGTCTAACTCTGCTCTTTTCACAGACACACACACACACACACACACACACACACACACACACACATATTGCCCTCGTCTTTGCGCGCGCGCGCACACACACACACACAAAAACACACACACACCTCCGGACGACAACGCGTGCACACACACACACAAACACACACACATACCTCCAGGCAACAGCGCGCGCAAACGCACACACATACGCACACACACACACTACCCTCCTCCACGGAGCTCCGTGTAAACAAAGCATCACGCGTCGCGTTTTTAACGTGACTTTGCACGCGATATGAGAATATAGCGAGTTAACCTGATACAGTACACGCGGTTACAAGTAACAAATCACAGCTAAATACATTTGCAAGCTAGAGTAAATGGGGCAACTTTAATCGCACGTACTTACACTTGAGAAATGGAGGAAGAAACCCATCCTGACGTCCAGCAGTAAGTTACGCTTTACTGATCCTTCCTTTAACAAACGCAGATGAAGTATTCTTTGTAGCATGTAGTTTCCAGAAGTTTCCAGTAGTTTCCAACTGCTTGGCTATAATGCTGAGGTTTCATCTTTGGATAGAGACTCAATATATCCATCTGCAGTGTGACTTCAATCGACCGGCATGTTTGTGGGTGTGTGTTTGTGGGTGTGTGTGTGTGTGTGTGTCTGGGTTTCTGCGTCAGAGGGCGGGGCCGCAGGTTTCAAATCTCCCGGGTTTGCGCGTGCACAAGAATAACTTGGTTTCGTTCCTACGTCATGGCGAAACACCTAATGACTCGGTATCAAGGCGACTCGTTTGAAACACTATGAATCGACTCTTTTATAGATGAATCAACCGTTTTAAACACTGTACTCTTACAGATTTAAGCCTTAGCTGGATACTTCACTTCACTTAGAGCTGTGTTACACACTACATGGAAGGGCATTTTCAAAAACCCATAATATGGGCTCTTTAAATTATTAGTGGGACATTTCAATGGTCGGGGATATTGATGGAGACACGTCTTCTCCGTACACCCTAAATCTATGCCCCTGCCTGAGATGGAGAGCAAATACGACATTTGGGTGAATTTAAAATGAACTGTTTCCAAATACGAACAGAATTCTGAATGACAGGGTTACGATTATAAAGTGAACTAGTTATACCTTGAGGTAAAGGGGTGTCTAAACTTGGTCCTGGAGGGCCGGTGTCCTGCAGATTTTAGCTCTAACTTGCCTCAACACACCTGCAAGGATGTTTCTAGAAAGCCTAGTACAAGCTTGATTAGCCAGCCCAGGTGTTTCTGATTGGTGTTGGAACTAAACTTTGCAGGACACCAGCCCTCCAGGACCAAGCTTGGACATGCCTGCTTTAGGTGATTGCCCTTGTATTTTTAATGGAGTTTCTGCACTCTCCTGCTGCTACTTATGTTTCTAGTGTTTAAATTTTTTTTTAGATCATTTTACACTTGAACAACTAAATGAATGCTTAAGTCTATTTAACTGATTGTATTTTAATTACATAAAAATTACATCAATGCTGTGAACGGAAGCTTGTGAAATTTAAAAATAATCACTTAAACCTTTTACTGGAAGTTCATCATTGGCTGAGAAACACTAGCTGTGCATATATAATGTATTGATGGACATAGTCAAAGAAAGATGTCTCCTTCTGTCCTCCTAGGTTCAGTTGTGCGCTTGAAGGGAGCTATTCTGCGTATGGCCCAGCTGGATGCCAGCGGGACTGTCCTTCCTCATATTTATGAGCCCTGGTATGAGCCCAACGCCCCTGAAGAGGAGAGAGAGCGGCCACGGAGACGCAGACCCACGTCCCCTCCGTCATCTCAGGAGAACCAGGACTGTCAGTACGCCGTGGTCTGCTCTGAGAAACAGGCCAAGGTGGTGGCGCTGCCCTCCCAACACTGCATCTTTGAACACAACATCACTGAAGCATCCTTTGTGCTTAGAGCCGATGTGGTTACGATGACGGCCGGGGTTGCCATCGCCTGTTTCTGTGCCAACGGCCACATCATGACCCTCAGGTGAAATGAATGGGCTGATATTTAAAGCTACTGATCTCAGGATCAACTTTGTTACAAGTTCGCATGAACAGGAAGCTGTGACCGTCTTAATGTCAAATGAGATAATAGTGGGTGTGGCTTTTTTTATCTACTGCGAGCTGATTGGATGTAGTAAAGTAGACATTTCATTCAGAAAGATCTGGAAAAGGATTTGGGAAGAGTTATAACAACCTAACAAACATCTCCTCCTCCTTACTATTTCAGTTTGTTGTCAAAACTGAGAGTTGAGGAGGCGTGGCTAAGTATGTTAGCCCCGCCCAACACTTTATTTTCAATTCAATTCAATTCAGCTTTATTTGTATAGCGCTTTTACAATGTAGATTGTGTCAAAGCAGCTTCACATAAATTGTCATAGTAACTGGATTAGGGTAGATCAGTTTTTAGTGTTTAAGTTCAGTTCAGTTTAGCTCAGTTCAGTGTGGTTTGAAATCGTTACTTAGCACTTATCCAAAATGTGCATAAATATAGGTGGATGGAAACGTAGCTAGTGTCATCTTTGCATTTAAAATGCAATAACTGAGCGAATGACACTTGAGAGTGATAAACCTGCATAAGGTCTCATTCACATACATGACATAACCATATCATGATTATAAAGGTTTAATGACAGTCTTATGATCGCCCCTTCAAGTAAAGTGTTACAATTATTTTATTTTATTTTTTTACACTGTTCTGAACATGTCTGTTTTCAGTTTGCCCAGCCTGCGGCCATTGCTGGATGTGAACTACCTTCCTCTGACGGACATGAGGATAGCCAGAACCTTCTGTTTCTCAAACCAAGGCCAAGCCCTGTACCTCACATCGCCCACTGAGATCCAAAGAATCACCTATAGCCAGGAAACCTGTGAAAACCTGCAGGTCAGACATGGCCTTCATGCTCTACTCTGTGTGCACGATGTATCCCATTAAAAATCCATTCATTTGAAACATAGATGGAGATTTACCTTTTGAATACTTTCAGTGGTTAAATTGCTAATTGAAATTATTTTGCTCAACAATTGATGATTGTGACAAATTCAGTTTGCATCTAATTCTTTCACTTCCTGTCACTTGAACCTAAAATAATCATAAATGATAAGTTAGAAAAAGGTTTAAGCAAGTTACAAGAGTGTTCATAGTGAGCTGTTTACGTTTAGCTTGTGACGAAAAACCCAACTTGCATGATTCAACCAAACACTCAAGAGCTCTTTCTTGTGAACATTTAGGTGTATGGGTTTTAAAACCAGCCTAGAGCACAATCTACTGTTTAAAACTAGCCTAGAGGGCCATTTGCTATTAAAAACTTAGCTTAGAACACCTTCTACTTTTCAGAATTGACCTAGAGCATCTGCTGTTAAAGACTAGCTTAGATCGCTGTCTGCTGTTAAAACTAGCCTATAGCGCCATATACTGTTTAAAATCTAGCTTAGAGCGCCATCTAATATTAAAAACTAGCCTAGAGTGCCATCTGTAGTAAAAATAAAACTAGACTAAAGTGCCATCTGTAGTAAAAAATAAAATTAGCCTGGAGGGCCATTTGCTATTACAAACTAGTCTAGAGGGACATCTACTGTTTAAAATCTAGCTTAGAGTGCCATCTACTATTAAAAGCTAGCCTTGAGTGCCATCTACTATTAAAAACTAGCCTAAAGTGCCATCTACTGTTTAAAACTAGCCTAGAGTGCCATCTACTGTTTAAAACTAGCCTAGAGTGCCATCTGCTATAAAAATAAAATTAGCCTAGAGCGCCATCTGCTATTAAAAACTAGCCCAGAGCACCATCTACTGTTAAAAACTAGCCTAGAGGGCCATCTGCTATTAAAAACTAGCCTAGAGCATGATCTACTGTTAAAAACTTGCCCAGAGCACCATCTACTGTTAAAAACTAGCCTAGAGGGCCATCTGCTATTAAAAACTAGCCTAGAGCACCATCTACTGTTAAAAACTAGCCTAGAGCACCATCTGCTATTAAAAACTAGCCTATAGCGCCATATACTGTTTAAAATCTAGCTTAGAGCGCCATCTAATATTAAAAACTAGCCTAGAGTGCCATCTGTAGTAAAAATAAAACTAGCCTAAAGTGCCATCTGTAGTAAAAAATAAAATTAGCCTGGAGCGCCATTTGCTATTACAAACTAGTCTAGAGGGACATCTACTGTTTAAAATCTAGCTTAGAGTGACATCTACTATTAAAAGCTAGCCTTGAGTGCCATCTACTATTAAAAACTAGCCTAAAGTGCCATCTACTGTTTAAAACTAGCCTAGAGTGCCATCTACTGTTTAAAACTAGCCTAGAGTGCCATCTGCTATAAAAATAAAATTAGCCTAGAGCGCCATCTGCTATTAAAAACTAGCCCAGAGCACCATCTACTGTTAAAAACTAGCCTAGAGGGCCATCTGCTATTAAAAACTAGCCTAGAGCATGATCTACTGTTAAAAACTTGCCCAGAGCACCATCTACTGTTAAAAACTAGCCTAGAGGGCCATCTGCTATTAAAAACTAGCCTAGAGCACCATCTACTGTTAAAAACTAGCCTAGAGCAGCATCTGCTATTAAAAACTAGCCTATAGCGCCATATACTGTTTAAAATCTAGCTTAGAGCGCCATCTAATATTAAAAACTAGCCTAGAGTGCCATCTGTAGTAAAAATAAAACTAGACTAAAGTGCCATCTGTAGTAAAAAAAATAAAATTAGCCTGGAGCGCCATTTGCTATTACAAACTAGTCTAGAGGGGCATCTACTGTTTAAAATCTAGCTTAGAGTGCCATCTACTATTAAAAGCTGGCCTTGAGTGCCATCTACTATTAAAAACTAGCCTAAAGTGCCATCTACTGTTTAAAACTAGCCTAGAGTGCCATCTACTGTTTAAAACTAGCCTAGAGTGCCATCTGCTATAAAAATAAAATTAGCCTAGAGCGCCATCTGCTATTAAAAACTAGCCCAGAGCACCATCTACTGTTAAAAACTAGCCTAGAGGGCCATCTGCTATTAAAAACTAGCCTAGAGCATGATCTACTGTTAAAAACTAGCCCAGAGCACCATCTACTGTTAAAAACTAGCCTAGAGGGCCATCTGCTATTAAAAACTAGCCTAGAGCACCATCTACTGTTAAAAACTAGCCTAGAGCTCCATCTACTGTTAAAAACTAGCCTAAAGCGCCCTCTCCTGTCAAAACTAGCCTAGAGCGCCATCTGCTGTTAAAAACTAGCCTAGAGCGCCATCTACTGTTTAAAAACTAGCCTAGAGGGCCATCTGCTATTAAAAACTTAGCTTAGAACTCCATCTACTGTTCAGAATTGACCTAGAGCATCTGCTGTTAAAAACTAGCCTAGATCACTGTCTGCTGTTAAAACTAGCCTATAACGCCATCTACCGTTTAAAATCTAGCCTAGAGCACCATCTAATATTAAAAAACTAGCCTAGAGTGCCATCTGTAGTAAAAAATTAAATTAGCCTAGAGCGCCATTTGCTATTACAAACTAGTCTAGAGGGACATCTACAGTTTAAAATCTAGCTTAGAGCGCCATCTACTATTAAAAGCTAGCCTAGACTGCCATCTACTGTTTAAAACTAGCCTAGAGTGCCATCTGCAATAAAAAATAAAAATAGCCCAGAGTGCCATCTGCTATAAAAAACTAGCCTAGAGCACCATCTACTGTTAAAAACTAGCCTAGAGGGACATCTGCTATTAAAAACTAGCCTAGAGCGCCATCTAATGCATAAAATCTAGCTTAGAGCAACATATGCTGTTAAAAACTAGCCTAGAGTGTCGTATGATGTTCAAAACTAGCCTAGGGCAGCATCTGCTATTAAAAACAAGCCTAGAGCACTGTTTTTTGTCGTTAAAAACTAGCCTATAGTGCCATCTACTTTGAGAAACTTACCTAGAGTGCCATCTGCAGTAGACTAAGCACTAACTAGAGCACCATCCACTGTTTAAAATTCCTTGAAATATTTGCAAAATTAAACAAAAATCACAGGAGTGGCAAATAATTCTGACTTCAACTGTATGCTACATTAGATCGGTCTTCATATTTATTTATTTTGAGGTGCTGATGTTTGCAGGAGATGCTTGGAGAGATGTTTACTCTAGTGGAGACACCAGAAGCTCCAAACAGAGGCTTCTTCAAGGGCTTGTTTGGAGGCGGCGCTCAGTCCTTGGACAGAGAGGATCTGTGTAAGCAGCAATCTGTCACTCACACATCCAAAAATGTTGCAAGATATTCTTAAATGACTAATTAGATGTTTGCTTTCTCATTTTTAATCAAGCATAACATGCTTTGAATTTTAATATAGAGTACATTTAAAAACAAATGTTCCAAAAGGAAATTCATAGCGACAGCAAAAACTATTTCGGCTTTTGATGAACATCTTTATTAATTCATTCATTTAATAATTTTTATAATGAAGTGAACAATATTGTACTGTAAAGAATGTTTTGTTAAATGCAAATGTTCCAAGGATGTACTTAAAGGGTCACGAAAAACCAAAACAGTCGTATATGTGTCTCACGCACGCTGCTATAAACACTATCAGGACACATATATTTCACAATAAAGTGAAAACTGGTTGTTTTTGCATTATTTAGAGCAAATTGGTTCTTCCGGTTTGAAACGTATTTTTAAAGCTGCGTGACGGCGATTAGATACTTGTGTTTATTCCAGTGTGGAGACTGGATTTTTGTACCTGTGAGTGCATTGTGACGTCTCTGAGTGTGCTGCATTAATTCATGAGAGAGAATTGGTTAACACCAATCAGCGCGCTCTATTGTATATGAGGTGCAATTTCATTATTATGCATGATAGCTTCGGAGACTGTTTTTTACCTGTACAGAGAGACGCCACATTGTGTTGCCAAAACAAGTGGAAAAAATTGTTTGGAGACACGAGTCGTCAGTGTTGCTTTTATAATTTGCTGCATCAAAGGTTTTCATTTTCCCACTATGAGAGTGCAGCTGGACTCACGTGTGGATTACAGTGCATGCGACGCTCGACAAAAATACGTGTCTAAGGAACATTGTTTACCCGAGAACTTTTCTCATCTGGAAATGGTGAAATCCCGATTTGCCACTCGTCTCCTTTTAATAAAGACGCGGCTCCAGTTGGTGTTGATTTTCCTGTCTCTACAGATTTGGTAAGTGTGTGATCAGTGTCTTTGTTTGTTTATTCAGAGGCAAGGTTTGTATAGTCAGCAGTACTCTTTCAGTGTTTAAAGACAGACCTTAGTCAAATGATTTAGTTACTAAAGTTTACAGTACGTTAATATCACTACAATATTATGGACTTAAAGATCCGTTGTAAATGCTGCTCTCCAAGTGTAAACATGTAAACACTGCAATCAAACTACTACCGTTGTGTAGGATTTTCGCCGCATTTTATGAAAGGATAATTTATACACACAACTTTTTTTTTTCTCGCATTCGCCATGTGGTATCAAACATTGCATTAAAAATAAAATCTCACTTGACATGAGGGCCATGAATGTAATGTTCCTGAAGGAAAGTGCCAAACTGCAGTTAAAGTTTGCCATTTAGTTATTTGGCAAATCATTTGATTACTGTGTCTGTGTTTGTTTTGCCTCTGTGAAAATCAGCGTGTGCCCTAACCGAAACTCCCATTTTATGCAACTCTTTATGCACCTTCCCTCTTTCCCTCCTAGGACACTCCCGCCTAAACTGGACACACCCATTTTCCTGACTTTTTTTCCAAACTAGTGACAGTATGTGTCTTTTTCACATACTGAGACAGCAGGGTGTTTTCACACCTCTTGTTTGAAAAAAGTCAGGACATGCAGATGTTGTTTTGTTTGTTTGTTAGATTGTTTAGTGTTTATTTCTAATGCAGTAAAACATAAAAATTTGTAGTAACTGTACTTATAATTGGTGGGTGCGAGTAAATTTGGCTGGTGCTCCTAACTTTTTAAAGTTGGGAGCACCAGTGCCATCAAGCAAAAAGGTAAATTCCGAGCCCTGTATGACTGTCAACTTCTCAGAAAATGTGTTTTGGTTAACTTTTTTGATCATCAGCCGCAGTGGCAAGTAGTTTTCCAACATTACTAGCCACTCTGCATTTTCACTAGCCACAATTTTAATGTTGGGAAAATATTTTTTATATGCATAAATATAACTTTGACATGTGTTACATATTGAGTAACATTTAATTTTGACAATGCAAGTGTGTATTGTTCCTGTGTGTTTCCTCCATTATCTATCGTTTTCTCTCTCTCCACATGAGCGGAGATCAGGTGCAGCTGTGAGAGGGGCGGCGCCAGCTATAAAGGCACGCCGTTGACGCTCCTCATCGAGTTCTCTTCCTGTTTCCCCCCGCTTTTGTGTGTGTGTCTGAGCAGCTCGCTGAGTTCTCTGTGCGGCAGTGATCTGTCTGAAACCTTTTTTTTTCAAAGTAATCCGGTGAGATACTCTGTTAAATACAGTAATAGGACGGTAACCTGCATTAGCGGTGGCTGATTGTTCAATGCCTTTATCCAAAGCTGTTTCAAAGTCATCTGGTAAGATACTCAGTTAAATACGGTACTAGGACGGTATCATGTGTTAGCTGTGGCTAATATTTACCTTAATGCTGAATGATCAACGGGAAGGCCCTTTTTCTTTTGTCCAGTTTTCTCCTGTTTTGTGGAGTTATGGAGGTTAGAATTGTATGCTTTATTTATGGAATTTTATTTTTGGTATAGGTAAGAGGTTTAATATTAGGTAGCGTACCTTGTTTTGTTTGTTGTTTTGGCCTTTTTGTTCCCTGATTCTGATTTTGATCTTTTTGTTTAATAAATCTGATATCCCTTATTGACAACTTGGCCTGTGTGTGTGTGCTTGGGGGAACAGGAACGGGGACTCCGGGTGACCACTTTTTATAGCGGTCATCCTTAAACTTATGTGCGTAGCGGGGTGCATCCGCTACGTAACACATGCTAAAATTACTTTAGAGTTAGATTTTTTGTTTTGTCCACATGCCTCATTCATTTCATGTTTTGTGTGTCTTTTATAAGCGAATGGGTCATGATTTCATAGTGTTATACTGCAAGCAGTTTTTATTTCACACCAATTTTGAGATCTCAAAATTAAAGTTTTACCTAATTTATCTCTGACCATACCAAACAATAATTATTTCTTAGCCACAATTTTAAATGTGTCAAAACAAGCTAAATAAAGCTGTATACTATACTTTTTATTTAACAAAAAATAAATAAAAAAAACAAGAAAAACAATTCAGTTCACCAGTTAACTACAAATAAATGGAGAGTTCATCTCACATTAAACCAATGTTGTTGTAAAAAAAAAAAAAAAAAAAACTTAATTAAACCATATCAACAAAAATAACCATAAGCAAAAGAAAGCAGATGAAAAACGTGTGTGATAATGAAAGGATGATCACATGGGTAAGGCCAATTAATAATCTGTTCAAAGCGAAAGCAACCAGTGCTGCTTACAAAAAGGTATATTTGGAGCTCTTGAATGCAGCAAGACTGTGTGCATTAGCATAAGTTTTTGTCTGTTATATATGAAAGAGAACCGATCACAGTTGCGTTCCACGCACGGTCGCTTCAAGCAAGGAAAAAGTTGCGCGCACTAGCTTTAAACGGTTGCGCGCATCACATCAGCTGATAACGCAACTGATCATCCTCTCATTCGGTATTCATCTGCTTTCTGCTGCTCGCGGAAAAAGCAATTATTGTTGTTAGTCGTGCTGTTTCTCGATTCTAAGATCACATTTGTACGCATGTTGGGTGACTTATACTTGCACCCTGCTTTTAAGAAAACCACCAAAGTGGCTAGTGGGAGTGACTGTCTAACCCGCCAAAGCTGAAATCTACCTGCATTTGGTGGGTTGGCGAGTGTTAATGTTAAGCCCTGCTTACAATTATTCTGAAATTATAGCACATTTGCATCTTGTTTTTACGATGATATGTACTCCATATCTAATAAGCGTTTTCTGTACAACTTACACAAATTTAGCAAATACATTTTTTATAGACTTCCCATTGAAAAACATCTGGCTGCAATGGCTGCTTGAGGGTTGTAGCTTTAGACTGATGTATGGTTTGTCAAGACTATTCAATTCAATTCAGCTTTATTTGTATAGCGCTTTTACAATGTAGATTGTGTCTAAGCAGCTTCACATAAATGGTCATAGTAACTGAATCAGGGTAGTTCAGTTTTTAGTGTTTAAGTTCAGTTCAGTTTAGCTGAGTTAAGTGTGGTTTGAAGTCATTATTGAGAGTCCAAACACTGAAGAGCAAATTCATCGATGAGTAGCTTTTTAGATCCTGAACCATGCAAGCCAGTGGCGACAGCAGACTACTCGTGTTCTTTTTGGTGTGCTCTATTCATAAACATTGACATGTGGAAAAACAGCATCCCAGTGCGTCCGCGTTGTGGTGCTGGCTAAAAAATTCAACTGAACCTGAAATGAAACTGATATTGATCCTGAATTAAATCTTCAATGTTTGCTGTGGTCTACAGTTGGAGAGGTGGCTGCTGGGAAGGCCTCACGCAGCCTAGCCCAGCACATCCCGGGTCCTGGTGGTATGGAGGGAATGAAGGGGGCGGCGTCAGGTGTGGTGGGAGAGCTGGCGCGGGCGAGGATAGCGCTGGATGAGAGAGGACAGAAACTGGGAGAGCTGGAGGAGAGGACGGCAGCCATGATGGCCAGCGCAGACTCCTTCTCCAAACATGCGCATGATGTGAGATGATCGTCAGCACTTCACCTCAATATCTGCTTTTTAGAGCCATACACGGGCTGTTAGTTATAGGGTTTTAGGCCAAATCAAGCAAATATCATTATTTGTGACACCTTGCAAGTTTTTACAAAACAAATAATATGTAATTTGAATAATTCTTTTACTAATCGATATAACATTTATTTCTGTTTGTTCAAATGAATATTTTCATAAATGCACACACAACTGTATTCACAGTTTTTCTAATATGTCTAATAATTCAGACAGTCAATAGCCTGATCAATTGCATAATAACACCTGCAGGCTTTACTGCATATTGTACGTATAGACAACAAAGAAAACACTGAGAGAAAGAGAGAAACTAGAGTTTACCCCTAAAGTATCAAACTAGAGATTAACCCTAAAGTATCAAACTAGAGTTTACCCTTAAAGTATCAAACTAGAGTTTACCCCTAAAGTATCAAACTAGAGTTTAACCCTAAAGTATCAAACTAGAGTTTACCCCTAAAGTATCAAACTAGAGTTTACCCCTAAAGTATCAAACTAGAGTTTTACCCCTAAAGTATCAAACTAGAGTTTACCCCTAAAGTCTCAAACTAGAGTTTACCCCTAAAGTATCAAACTAGAGTTTTACCCCTAAAGTATCAAACTAGAGTTTTACCCCTAAAGTATCAAACTAGAGTTTACCCCTAAAGTATCAAACTAGAGTTTACCCCTAAAGTATCAAACTAGAGTTTACCCCTAAAGTATCAAACTAGAGTTTACCCCTAAAGTCTCAAACTAGAGTTTACCCCTAAAGTATCAAACTAAAGTTTACCCCTAAAGTATCAAACTAGAGTTTACGCCTAAAGTATCAAACTAGAGTTTAACCCTAAAGTATCAAACTAGAGTTTACCCCTAAAGTATCAAACTAGAGTTTACCCCTAAAGTATCAAACTAGAGTTTACCCCTAAAGTCTCAAACTAGAGTTTACCCCTAAAGTATCAAACTAGAGTTTTACCCCTAAAGTATCAAACTAGAGTTTACCCCTAAAGTATCAAACTAGAGTTTTACCCCTAAAGTATCAAACTAGAGTTTTACCCCTAAAGTATCAAACTAGAGTTTACCCCTAAAGTATCAAACTAGAGTTTACCCCTAAAGTATCAAACTAGAGTTTTACCCCTAAAGTATCAAACTAGAGTTTTACCCCTAAAGTATCAAACTAGAGTTTACCCCTAAAGTATCAAACTAGAGTTTACCCCTAAAGTATCAAACTAGAGTTTTACCCCTAAAGTATCAAACTAGAGTTTACCCTTAAAGTATCAAACTAGTTTACCCCTAAAGTATCAAACTAGAATTTACCCCTAAAGAACCAACTAGAGTTTACCCTTAAAGTATCAAACTAGAGTTTACCCCTAAAGTATCAAACTAGAGATTAACCCTAAAGTATCAAACTAGAGTTTACCCCTAAAGTATCAAACTAGAGTTTACCCCTAAAGTATCAAACTAGAGTTTACCCCTAAAGTATCAAACTAGAGATTAACCCTAAAGTATCAAACTAGAGTTTACCCCTAAAGTATCAAACTAGAGTTTACCCCTAAAGTATCAAACTAGAGTTTACCCCTAAAGTATCAAACTAGAGTTTACCCCTAAAGTATCAAACTAGAGTTTACCCCTAAAGTATCAAACTAGAGTTTACCCCTAAAGTATCAAACTAGAGATTAACCCTAAAGTATCAAACTAGAGTTTACCCCTAAAGTATCAAACTAGAGTTTACCCCTAAAGTATCAAACTAGAGTTTACCCCTAAAGTATCAAACTAGAGTTTACCCCTAAAGTATCAAACTAGAGATTAACCCTAAAGTATCAAACTAGAGTTTACCCCTAAAGTATCATATTTGAAAATTAAACCGATTGTTTTAAAATAAATGCTAAGTCGTTCGTGTTGTTTGATATCTATTTAAACACGTTGGTGGAAATAATGCAGAGAATGCATTCTTGTGTGGGGCCAGCAGCAAAAATCTTGAGTCATGGACAATGTAAACATTTACTGTTTTTTAATGAGTTCACCTGACCGTCTTTCCCAATTCTGGGAGAGTTACAGTGTGAAGAAGCCCCAAAGAAGCAAACCACTCAGACTGTTCAATGCCCAGAGTGAAGCATGGGGGGGACCAGTGATTGTTTGGGCTGCAATATCATGGCATTCCCCAGGCCCAATACTTGTGTTAAATGGGCACGTCACTGCCAATGACTACTGAACCATTCTGAAGGACAATGTGCGCCCAATGGTTCAAGACTGGTGGTTTGATGAACATGAGAGTAAAGTTGAACTTCTCCCATGGTCTGCACAGTCACCAGACACAAATATTATTGAGACACCTTTTCAACATACTACAGTTTGGGACATACTAATTATTTTTTTAAATACTATTTAGTACTCTAAATTTTATACTACACATTTGAGTGTAGACGTGGATTTGGGACATACAATAATGCCAAATCTTGGGATCTGGACAATGTGAAACATGTATTGTTCTCTGAGTCCACCTTCACTTACTTTCTCACATCCAGGAGAGTTACAGTGTGAAGAAGCCCCAAAAAAGCAAACCACCAAGACTATTACATGCCCAGAGTGAAGCATGAGTGTTTGTTTTGGAATACCATGGCGTTCCGTAGGCCCAAAGAAAGATGGCGCCCACTGACAGTATAGTGTCCCCTTCAGTTTTACAGGGGCATTAGGACTCACACAGACCACAGGTTGAGCGCCCCCTGCTGGCCTTTCTAACACCACTTCCAACAGCAACCTAGTTTTCCCATGTGCTCTCCCATCCAGGTACTGACCAGGCTCAGCCCTGCTTAGCTTCAGTGAGTAACCGGTCTTGGGCTGCCGGGTAAAATGGCTGTGTAATTCACCAATACACACGGCACGACTAATGACAGAGGGGTTTAAAGAACATGAAAGTGAAGTTGAACATCTCATATGGCCTGCACAGTCACCAGATCTAAACATTATTAAGGCACTTTGAGGTGTTTTGGAGGAGCGAGTCAAAAAACATTTTCATCCACCAGCATCACATTTTGACGTGGCTCCTATTCTGCAAGAAGAAATGCCCAAAATCCCTCTGGCCACTGTGCAGGATTTGTGTCTGTCATTCCCAAGAAGAATTGATGCTGAATGGGCCGCAAAAGGAGGCCCTACACCATACTAATGATTTATTGTGGTCTAAAACTAGGCGTTTAGGTTTCATTGTCTAACCCAGGGGTGGCCAACCCTGTTCCTGGAGAGCCACCTTCCTGCAGATTTCAGTTGCAACCCATATCAAACACACCTGCCTGTAATTATCACGTGGTGTTCAGGTCCTAATTAATTGGTTCAGGTGTGTTTGATATGGGTAGCAACTGAAATCTGCAGGAAGGTGGCTCTCCAGGAACAGGATTGGCCACCCCTGGTCTAACCTCTGTATGTATGCGCAATCCAATTTAAAATACAGAAGCAATTCTCAGCTTTCGAGTTCACTAGGTTTTAAAATGCAGCCATATACTTTAGGCCACGCAAAATATTTGTGTTGGCCAATTTATTGTTGTTTTCATGAACAATTCCTGTTTGTCTTCTCCAGATGATGCTGAAATACAAGGACAAGAAATGGTACCAGCTCTGAGGGCCTGTAGGGAGTCAGCAGAAGACAGCAGATCCATCATCTCTCCTCGGTTTCTTCCTTCTCTTCTCTTCTCTTTCCCTCTCTGTGATGTCTTGAGACTCGGCACAACGTCCCGCGGCATTACCTCCAGCAGAGGAGACAGGAGGCGAAGGATCCAGACAAGCCAAACGCATCGGGACGGGATTACCAGGCACTAAAGTTTCCTCTTCTGAAAACAAAAAGCCGCGGTTCTTGTCTTGTAGAGGTGGCTTTTCACCGGTGCTGCCCCGTTGTTTACCGTCATCCGCCCCACGCTGTCATTTTCACTGCCATTCGATCTGCGAAGGAAACTACACAGAGAAAGACAACGAATGAAATAGAGACTAACGTGTGCAGCATTGCCAAGCTTAATGCTTCTGATAATCTGTCACTAGTGCAAGAAAACATTGCATGTCTAGTGATTTCATGTAGGAAATTAGTGCGTTTTATTGTTTTGTTTTTTTAGGAAAGGGGGCACTGTAAAAAGCGATTTCTAGACTTGAACAGCCATTAGTTGACTTTACTTTAAAAAGGGAGTAAACCCGTTGCTTTTAAAGTGAGTAGTTAACTTAACTTAAAGAAAGTGAGTAAACCCATTGCTTTAAAAGCGATTAGTTGACTGTGCTTAAAGTGAGTAAACCCATTGCTTTTAAAGCGATTAGTTGACTCTACTTAATAAAGTGAGTAAACCTATTGCTTTAAAAGCGATTAGTTGACTGTGCTTAAAGTAAACCCATTGCTTTTAAAGCGATTAGTTGACTCTACTTAATAAAGTGAGTAAACCCTGTGCTTTAAAAGCGATTAGTTGACTCTACTTAATAAAATGAGTAAACCCTGTGCTTTAAAAGCGATTAGTTGACTCTACTTAATAAAGTGAGTAAACCCTGTGCTTTAAAAGCGATTAGCTGACTCTACTTAAAGTGAGTAAACCCATTGCTTTTAAAGCGATTAGTTGACTCAAAAGTTGACTTAAAGTGAGTCAAAAGCAATGGGTTTACTTACTTTATTAAGTCAACTAATCGCTTTAAAAGTAATGGGTTTACTCACTCTAAGTAGAGTCAACTAATCGCTTTAAAAGCAATGAGTTAACAATTTTTTTTAAAGTAACCCCATTGCTTTTAAAGTGATTAGTTTACTAAATTTTAAGTGAGTAAACCTATTACCTTAAAGGTATTAAGTTAACTAATTATAAAAATTAAGTTGACTCACACTAGGTTTATCGCTTTAAATTAAAATCTACTTGTCCCATTTAAATCAACGAGTTAACTCACTTTTTTAAAGTAAAGCATGTCATCGCTTTTTACAGTGCGAGTCTTGTGAATATATTTCTGATGGATATTTCACCCTGGAATTAATATTTTGCATGAAGAGAATCTTGTTCTTTATGCAATATATTTGTTGTGAATGTAGGGTGAAATATAAGCAGTGTTTCACAAGACTCCTTCAGTAATCACGTTTGCTATGGAAAAGGCCAGATTGTCTTTTATATATATATATATATATATATATATATATATATATATATATTAAAGGGGGATGAAGGATCATTTAATTTCACCTCTAAAGGGCTGGAAGTTGCTGTATTTACCACATATCATGGGATTATTTGGCCTGGCTTTGTTATGCATCATTTGGTTTATTGTTTCTTCTGAAGGACACATTGGTTTACACTGGATCAGGTCTCTAAAGAGCTATTAGGGAGGAGCTCAGACTTTGATGTACACTAGATGCTTTGTTGACACTGGTGAAGGATTTTTTTTAAATGTACACTCACTCTAAAAAAAACATGTTTTTTTTTTTTTTCCAGGCCAACTTGGGATAAATATGGACAATAACAAATGTTCTAAAGAATATATTTATAAATAATTTAAAAAGAAATTAACCTAGATGTTGGTTTTGTCTATGTTTTACACAGAAATTGGCATTTTTTTAGAGTGTAAGGAGTGCAGGTGAATCTTTCATAACACATCTGGCCCATATTTCACTCAAGAAAAAACAAAGACACTTTAGCTTATTTTTTAAATGTCATTTCTGAGGGTTTTTAGTGTAAAATTTAATAAGAAAATAGTTTAACATTGAGAGTGCAAATACTACCATAATGCTTAAATATTTATCAATTGTCCAAGAAAGTAGAAAAATTGGCTTTATTTTTTGCAAGTAACCTATAATTTACAATTTCTCAGATTTTAAGATGAAATATGAAATATTTCTGGCTCATATTTAACTCCAATGTCAAAAGAATAATATTTATTACAAAGGAAATTAAGCTGTTTTGTGTAAAATTTAGCATAAATTTACATTAGTATAAATTTGAGACGGTACATACACTACCATGAACCATTAATATCTATTTATTTATTTATTTTTGCAAAATAAAGAACAAAAATCTGCCTAATTGTCTTGCAAATGTGCAAAAAACATTTAACTTGAAAAAAAATTGGCTTAATATTTTTTGCAAGCAAGCTATCATTTTGAGTTTCTCAGATTTCAGGGTGAAATATGACTTAGATTTGATCAGGTTCGACCCAGGTGAACAACACTGAATACTGAATACACTGTAGAAATACCCATTATTTGACCTTTTCCGTATACGATTCACAGGTATTTTTACATTTATTTACAGAAATGAATCGCATTATGGTATGTTGATCCCTGCTCTGTTGACTTTTGATGTTAAAAATTCAACTCTACGGTTTAACAAAGAGGATTTTAATGACATTTTAGTCGTTTATATAAGTAATAATATATATATATAGAGGGAGAAATAAGTCTGAAAATAACAGAAACTAGAGGCAGTTTATCAGCAGGTTTTGTAGAGTAATTTACAACATCAATCCAGACAATATATCACTGCAAACTATTAAAATCATCAATAAAAGTCACTTTTTTTGCATTTATTTACAGTAATGAATCGCATTATGGGTCATTGATCCCAGCTCTTTTGACTTTTAATGTTCAAAAATCAAACAAAGTGACTTTTATTGACATTTTAGTCATTTATATAAGAAATAATATATAGAGAAAGAGAATTAAGGTTTCTGTATCATATTTTACAACACCAACCCAGACAATATATCACTGCAAACTATTAAAAACATCAATAAAAGTCACTTTTTAGTCAACTATTCTGGGTGAAATATGACTCAGATTTGATCAGGTGAACAACTACTGACAACACTGTAAAAATACCCATTCATTAACCTTTTCCGTATACGATTCACAGGTATTTTTACATTTATTTACAACAATGAGTTGCATTATGGGACATTGATCTCTGTTGACTTCTGATGTTAAAAATTCAACTCTACAGTTTAACAAAGTGACTTTTATTGACATTTTAGTCATTTATATAAGAAATAATAATAATAATATATATATATATATATATATATATATATATATATATATATATATATATATATATATATATATATATATATATATATATATATATATATATATATATATATATATATATATATATATATATATATATAAATATATATATATATATATATATATATATATATA